ATCCATTGCCCCAACAACAGATGTTGCTAGGTGCCTGTCTCTCCTCGGCAGACAGCCATTGCAAACAGCAGCAAGTTGCCCCGGGATCTGCTGCTTGCACGAGCACCATCGACCCTCCCCAAGAGGTCCAAGAAGCCAGTGACTCCGTTAGCAGCCCGATGGAGAGCTCCCCTAGGGACATGTCAGCGTCCTGGTGGACGCCAAGTTGATTGAAGATCCCAGGCCCTCGTGTGCACGGATGTTGAAGCTTGAGGAACTGAGTACACACTGCCTGTGGCACACCTGACAGCTGCCTCGCGGTCGAACTCCACGATGCTGTCCCTGTAGTGGAAGTTCCTGTGAGCCCGGCACTCCCTGCAGTGCCATCGCTGACATCGTGGGTTAGGGGAGAAGTACCCTCTACAGATGGGGTGGCGCTGGGAGTTGGGTGGGTGAGGCGGGGGAGACGTGCAGGGGTGAGGCGTTATGAGAGGGTCACTGTTTACTACACACGCCCTCCCCCTCCCCCCCAGCAGAGAGGGGGGGAGGCGCTGACTGGTCCTGACTCGACAACACCAAATCCTCTGAAACTGCACAACACTTCAGCTATTTACGCTGAAATGATGCACTGGGATGTCCGTTCGCTGCTCTGGTATCTTCTCAAAGCATTCACACTGAGTTCTGTTAAGTAGGGACCTGGTCAGCCTCTTTGACCAGGAGCTATCCTTGAAAATCCCGCAGCTGGCCCGCTACACAACCTGCCGTGTCGGCCATGTTGAGCCCTGTGCCTTCGCCTACATTCCACCCTTATTTTATCGAAACTTGATTATGGTGACCAGATCTATTCAGCAGCATCTCCTGCTACTCTCTCTAGCCTTAACCCCATTCATCACCAAGGATTACGTTTATGCCTTGGTGCTTTTCGCTCTTCCCCTGTCGAGAGCCTCTATGCAGAAGCGAACGTTCCATCCTTATCCGATCGCCGTGATGCCCATTGCCTTCGCTACTATGTACGCTCTCATGATCTCCGCAATCCTTCCATTTATAGAATGGTCACTGATATTAGTAGACATTCTTTATTTGTTCGCCGCCCCTGTTTACTCCGTCCCTTCTCTCTTCGCCTTCATTCACTCGTCTTCTCTTCAATTACCACCTTTCTATGTACATGTAGCATCTCACTTTTCCCTACCCCCCCTGGGAAGTTCCAGCTGTTCGAGTCTGTTCTTTCTCTCTCCCTTGCTCGAAAGCCCAACTATCTACGGTCGCTTCTCGCTCTCTTTTTCTTGACCACTTTCACTCTCATTCTCATGCCATTGCTGTGTACACAGATGGCTCTAAGTCTTTTGACGGCATAGGATTCACAGCAGTGTTTCCGGACAGCGTCGTACAAGGGCATTTACTATCTTCGGCTAGTATTTTTACTGCTGAATTGTATGCCATCCTTACAGCACTTATCTGTATTGCATCTATGCCTGTGTCATCATTTGTGGTTGTCTCAGACTCCCTTAGTGCTTTACAGGCTATACAGAAATTTGATACACCTCACCCCTTAGTCCTCCGTATCCAAGTTTGGCTACGCCGCATCTTTACCAAGCATAAAGATATTGTTTTTTGTTGGGTCCCTGGTCATGTTGACGTACAGGGCAATGAACAGGCAGACACTGCTGCGCAGTCAGCAGTACATGACCTACCAGTTTCATGTAGAGGTATTCCATTTACGGACTATTATGCTGCAATATCTTCCCAACTTCACACCCGTTGGCAACAATGTTGGTCTACTATGCTCGGCAACAAACTTCAATCTATTAAACCGAGTATAGGTTACTGGCCGTCTTCTTATCACCAGTGTCGAGGTTGGGAGACTACTCTCTCCCGTCTTCGCATTGGCCATACTCGTCTTACTCATGGATATCTCATGGAGAGGCGCCCTGCTCCTCTCTGTGAGAATTGCCAAGTTCCAGTATTGATTAGCCACATTCTGTTAGACTGCCCACTTTATCAACGACCACGCAGAATTTACCTCCGTCGTCGTCTTCGCTCTGCTGCTCTCTCTTTACCTTCCCTTCTCGTTGATGGACCCACCTTTCATCCAGACTCTCTCATTGACTTTTTGACAACAACTGACTTACTTCACAAATTCTGATACCTTCAGCCCTTTCTACTTCAATCTCTTGCCACCCTCTACCCCCGTACTATCCCCTGCCCCGCTGTTTTCTGTAACCTACTGATCATCCCTCCTCCCTTCTGCCATCCAATACCCTCGCTTCCTTCCCTACCCTGCAGCGCTGTATAGCCCTTGTGGCTTAGCGCTTCTTTTTGATTATAATAATAATAATAATACACAAACTTCGACACACAGCCCCTAGCGTCCCTTCCAGTCCTTTTCTCCCCGCACCTCTAATCCCCTCTCCACCTAGCTGTTTATAGCCCCGGCACTATTTTCTGCCCTGCAGCGCTGCATGACCCTTGTCAGTTTAACACTTTATTTGATTATAATAATACTCGTAAGAGGAAACAGGTCCTGATGAGAGGAAGTAGGAAAGAGTAGTTGTTAGATACACTGGCTAGGAGTTAGTGCACAACTGTTGGCAGACATTATGGTATAAGCAAATTCACAGTTCTATGACCATACCCAGCACCACAGCCAGCATAGATAGTACCCCAGAGATGGACGATTCTACAAAGGAATCATCCAGCTATCTTCACATGAAAGACTAGCACCATTCTTTTCATTCTTCCAATTCATCCTCATCAGAGGTAAGTTAAATATAGTACAGTATTATGTGTATTGTTTTATAATGAGTGAAGGCAAATTGATAGGAAAATATATGCAGACAACATATAGTGATGTTAGCAGTTTTGATTCTCTGGGACTTCCAGGAACATAACTCTCATGAATCTTAAGGGTGTACTGTAAATGTGACTTGTTGGTTAATGTTAGCACTTTGGGTCATAACTGAAAGACCCAGGTTCAATCCTGGTGTAGATGGAGTTGTTGGACATGTTTCCTTACCCTTGTTGCCTTTGTTCACCTATCACTAAATAGGTAATGAGGTGTTAGCCTACTGTTGCAGTTGGATATCCTTGAGAGTGGTAATATACCTTAGACAGGGCTGGGTTTTGAAATGAGCCAAGGTAGGTTAACTCTTAAGATGTAAATTCAGTGGTGAAAGAAAAATAAAGCTGAAGAGACTGCAAGCTTTGAAACAGGAGGAAGACCTTGGGTTAAGCACAGTATCAAGCACATCACTGGAGTGGCACATCAACTAAGTAGTGACAGCAGTGTATTCTCATCTAGTAAACCTGGGACTAACATTTACGAACCTTCACAAATAGTCATTGTTTATACAATATACTATATTGTATGTCAGATCTGTTACAGAGTATGGAGCACTAGCATGGAGCACATACTTTATGAAGCATATAAGAAAACTAGAGAAAGTCAAGAGATTCTCAGCTAGACTTCCCAAGCTGAGTAAGCTGATGTATGAGGATAGACTAAAATGGCTGAGGATGAGATGAATGTTGAGATCATGGATGGTGATTTAAAATGGAAATAAGCCACAAGGACATTAGAAAGTACTTCTACAGCCTCACAGTGGTTAGGAAGTGGAGCACCCCAGACAGACCTGGTGGAGGCAAACCCTATACATAGTTGGAATGATAAGCATAACAGGGTTTATGAGACAGGGGACTGATGACACTGGTTTTATGTTGTTAGGAGGGTCCAAGAGCCTTGACTATTCTTGCAACTATAACTAGTTAAGGACATACAGAAGTAACAACTGTACATACAATACCTAAGCATTAGCCAGCTTTAGTGCCCCCCCTCTGTCTCTCTCTATGTCTCTCTCTCATATTCCCTAGTGCCAAATCATAAACAATAATGGGTGTAAAATTGGTATTGAGGAAGATGCTTTATTCAGTAAATCAAGTGACAACATAAATGCACATATGCACACACAGAGAGAGGTTTACAGATGGCAAATAATGTCTGACTAATTTCCTATAGCTTTATGGCAGTCACAGACCTGTAGTCGAGAAAAAGGTTGATTGGGCCAACTTTCTTGAATATAAGGAAGCATTTGATTAATACCGTTACATATAAGCAACTGTTATATAACTGTAAGACATGGAGATAACCAGGAAGGATTCATGATCATGACACGAAGACTGTTCAGGGAAGTATATAGCATGTATAGGGACAAACTCTGAGAAGTGAGGAGATGGATCAGGAGAGACAAGCACACTAGGAAGTATGATGAATGAGACACTTGTGCACCACTTTGGTATCTGTGGAAACGTTTTGCCAAGCAACGGCTTCCTCAGTCAGGAAGTGTTGCATAATAACCATTTACATTCAGTGCTAGGAACTATGTTTACAGTCTTCAAGTGATGGGTGAGTGAAGTGTAATAGATGAAGAGGTGGTACAAGCAGACACACTATACAGCACTAACAGTGGGTAGGATCTAGTCCTTGAAGTCAGAAATATGTAAAGCCAATTGATAGGAGCTTTAACACTGGGCTTGAAGCTGCAACTTGACCCTTGCATGCACAGTTAAAAACAATTTAAACAAACCAACATACACACGTACAAAAATGCGCACACACACACATACAAAAATGCGCGCGTGCGCGCACACAACCACACACACACACACACACACACACACACACACACACACAAAACATGTGTGTAAACAATGAATAGTACTGTATACAGTACTGTGAGAAATGCTCATATATCTCTTTTTTTTCTTTTCTAAAGGTGTTTCTGCTCTATTTATATACTACTTTGTGTGTGTGTGTGTGTGTGTGTGTGTGTGTGTGTGTGTGTGTGTGTGTGTGTGTGTGTGTGTATTATATATATATATATATATATATATATATATATATATATATATATATATATATATATATATATATATATATATATATATATATATATATACTGTATATAAAATAGTATATATAAATTTTGCTTCAATTCATACTCTAATATTTTAATTTTTCACTTCAGCGGTGCACAATCGCGGCATTGGCTCCCGACAAGCATCTCTTGCTTCAGTCAATGGATCTGCAACATGCGTAAAGGATATCCGAATTACAGAAAATCCCCTGCAAAACCCCACTGTCTGAGCATTAGCAACCTTACCTGGGATGAAGAATGGGACACTTCTATGAAGATCATTGTGTTTGTGAAGTGACAGTGGTTTGTCGATTTTAGTCAAATGGTCCTGCAGTATGTCAACTATAAAAAGATCAAAGGACAAATTTTAAGCGTTGACAGTGTTATAGGATAGAGGCATAATTCTTACTGATGACCACATGAACTTTTTTTAACCAAAAAAATTATGGCTTGAAATTTTTTTAAAGTATGCATTATTTTTCTTTCTTGTGAACATTCATTTTTTTTTATTATACAAGTGATGTCAGTGATTTTTTTTTATCATACTTCAGGTATTACAGATTTTAGAGCTATGATATTAATAGGTAAGCTTTGTTGTTGCTGTTGGTTCGAGAGGCTTCTGTTGTTCAGTCGAACAAGCGTTTAAAATAGCTTTCTAAGTGAGATATTCCACATAACCACTGTTAATTTGGGAGAAAGGATTACCTAGATTTTCTGCATTGCATAGAATTTTTGGAGTAATAAGGGTAAAGGCTTAAAATTATATAAGCATTGAAGTTGATACTTGGCATTACTGAGAGTAAGGGCAAACTCAACTCAAATTTAGTGAATGCTGTCTGAAACTGCAATTTTGCATATAAAAATTATTAAAATAATTTTTTAACTTATTTTTTATACTGTACATCCTGTATACAGTACATTGTTTTAAATAATTTTTGGTCATAGTTATAAGGCTGAGTTTGCCCATGCTTTTGGCAACACCTTGTATGCTTTCTATATCACTGTCAGTACAGTATTACAGTCTGCTGCTTCACATAGCTTACCAGAGAAATTGTTGTCACCATTTAATTAGAAAATCATGGGTACTGTGCTATTTAACTAGGAATTATGAGAGGCTCTAGTTTCACAGGAATAATAATAGACTAAGTAGCACAAACTGTGATACAGTATTGCTACATGCAGTTTTAATCTTATTTAAAATCCTAGTATTGTTCATTACTTTATTATTCAATTCTGTCTACTTATTTAATCTTTTGTTGCCACTTATTTTATGGTATGATGCAGTATTCTTGAGATTTATTTTAAAGTTTTAGATTATCATTTGAAAATCTGAATTACTTAAGTTGAAACCATTCTTCTTAATTTGGTTTTGAAAACAAAGCACTGATGCAGACCTCTTGGTAAATATAATCTAGTCAGATTTGGTAATGGTATTGTAAGAGTCCTGAGGAAGACAACATTCAAGATATTTGTACAGTGCCGTTTTCATGTTTATAACAGAGTACACAGTGTGTTTCAGCACAGAACAAGAGATATGTATCTTGATATACAATTTAACCATTTTAAAGGGAGTTAAATTCCATGCAGTTTCCATTCTGTTGCACTCCTTGAGAATGTGATTGAGAGATCATGAAGGAACTTGGCATATAATTCCCTTTGAAATTTGTGAAATTGAATACAGACCCAAATTTTAATTGTTTTTCATTTTCTAAACTTTTAAACAAATAATATATCCATAGATAAATGAGTTACTCACAAATTTTCCATGAGTAGCAAGAGTAGACTTGAGATGAAGTTATGCTGGAATTTTGAATCTTACAAAAACTTTGCTGAGGTCTCAAAGATATTGCTGTTTTAAATGATCTTTGATAGGGAGCTCCATATCTTGAATGATATTACTGTAACTCAGAGGGGATATGCCAGGAACAATTATTTTTAAATAAAAATGGGGAAAATAATATCTCGCAAAAGTACTCAAATGCTAAAGCTTGTGTATATAGTTGTTATAACAATGTTAGTCTTCTTATTCAGAGAATCCCTATGTACACCACTGCGCTGAAATGTTAACACGTGAAAGTCTGAATAATGTGCCCTGAAAATGTAATAGAAACCATTTTGAATCATGTTCAGCTCATTGTTACTCTCATATTCCATTTGTTAATAATGCCTTTTAATTATTTTACTTACAAAGCCTAAGTTTGGGGCTGCAACACTTTCTCGCATACATTTGAATGATTGTGTATCTGTTTACTGAGGTCGCTCTTAAGGGTGAAAATCCTGAAGCAGTTAATGCATTTTACCATATTACTATAGCATTGATAGTTAATGGCTTTTATGTTATTACCATCTTGGTTTCCTTGAAAGATAGGTGGACTTCCACATTATATATATGGCAACTGTGTGTATATACAATATGCGTCAAAACCCTGTGGTGTCTCCTTTCTCTTGGATAAGTTGGTAATGATGTTGAAGAACCATTAGTAGGTACCCCTCTTTTATTATTTATGTAAATAGTTAAGATTTTCTGTTACATCACTAGCTATGTACCTTCTTTAGTTATTTACATCAGTAGGTATATGCTCACTTATTTGCAAAAGTATATACCATATTCTATTATTTACAATAGGAACCACTTTTATTTACAATAAGAACCTTTCATTTACAGTAATAGGTACCCACTTTTATTATTGTAAATAATAGACACCATTTTCTATTATTTACTCTAATAGGTACCCTATTCTATTATTTACAATAATAGGTATGCACTCTATTGTTTACTCATTCATTTAGGCAGTATAATAGTTGTGATATCTTGCTTATTTTATAGATCAATTAATTTAGAATTTTATTTCCTATAGTATTGTTTTAAGGATATATAAATAAAGGTTTAATAGAGTACTCTACTTGTTAAAACTCGTAGATTAAATGGGTTCAGGAGAAAATGTCAGAAATACAATGTGTTTTAAAGTGACTTTAATTCTTGTAATCTATTTTTATTAAGTTTTTATTCAATAAGATATGTTTGAAATTTATCAGAACTAAAGTTCATAGATCTTGGATTCTATGATAGTTTAGTTTTAATGTAGTGACTGTAATATAGTGTGACATAGTATTTTAACAGGAGGAAGATTTTGCACCCAGGGTGATCATTCACTACATGCTGAAGCCATATCCTGTGAAAAAAATCAATAAACAAACAAACAAAATAACAAAAATTTTTATTTCAAAATGTATGTAATTGTTAGAAAATTTGAGACAGGCGAAAACTAAAGCCTAAAACTACTTTACATCATATGGTGAGGTTAGATTATTTGAATGATGCTAAGTTTTTTTATAATTGTCTGAGGATAATATTACGCAATGATTATTGTAAGTAAAAAAAAAAAAGTATGTACTATATATTAACCCTTAAACGGTAAAAACGTATATACTATACGTTCACTCGCGTAGCGCCCCAAATTTTTTTAGAGAAAAAAAATTCTTTTTTTTAATAGGAAAAAAGAGCATATGGTACCCAGGCGTCCTCAATTATTTTAATATGGCGCACAGTGAGTGCGCACACCCATTCTCTCATGTCTAGGTGACTCAGGCTTATCATGGCAATGTTGAATGAATGACAAAGAAAACGTATATATACGTTTGGGGCGCTACGCACGTGAACGTATATATACATTTGGACCGTTTAAGGGTTAAAACAATGATGGAAGTGCATTCAGGCATCTGTGGAGACAAAGAACTTTCTCCATGGAGGCAAAAATGTAATTGTACCACAGTATAGTGGTACAAGCACTGCTATATGGATGTGAAGCATGGGTTGAAATGTTGCTTCGAGGAGGAGGCTGGAAGCAGTAGAGGTGTTACGTTACAGGGCTGTGTGTGGTGGAAATATTAAGCAGAGAATTGAAAATGTGAAGATTAGAAGACTGTGTGGGGTGTTGAGGTCATTTGAGCACTTAAAGAGGATGAAGCTGGATAGGATGGCTGAGACTACATATATAAATCTGGGATGGAAAAGAGGGGCAGAAGAGGTTTTAAAAGTGCTAGTATCTTGAACATCCATCAGGGTTATGCAAGTGTGTTAGATGACAGTGGAGACAAGTGTTTTTTTGACCTAAAGTGCTGCTGAAATGTGAGCAAGGTAACATTTATAAAGGCATTCAGGGAAATGGGTTTGCCAGACTCGAGTCCTGGAGTTGGAAAATAAGGGTGTTCCAGTTTGGAGAGTCGTCTGAACTGTGATTTCAGCACATTAATGGCAAGACAGCGTTTGAATGAATGGCAGTGAATGTGCTTTTTTTTTTGTGTGTGTGGGGAGTCGCCCTACCTCAGTGGGAAATGCCCAGTGTATTTTAAAAAAAATGGTGATAGTACAAAAGTGTATTGACAATTATAGTTACTTATAATAATTATTGGGGCTAGAAATACAGCAGTGAGAGTAAGTGTACGAGAAGTGTTGATTGGAATCTGGATAAGCAGATTGTGTTAGATATTATTGACATTGATATCTGATCTATGTAAATTTGCATCAGTCGGGTTTTTTTTTAACTATATTTTTTGAAGTATCTGGCAGATAGGGAACTATTAGAATCTTCTGTTAGAGAGTTCCATATTTCTGGGCCTTTTATTTGCATGGAGTTTGTTTGGATTGAGTCAGTCACTTGGGATAGCAAAGAGATATTTATTCTTATATTGTGTCGGCTCTCAAGAGGACTTATAGAACTGGATTAATACAGTGGAACCTGGGTTGTCGACCTTAATTTGTTTCATATGTCGATTTGACAGCCAAAATGGATGACAACCAAAGCAATTTTTCCCATTGAGAATAATGTAAATAGAATTAATCCATTCCAGACTCAAATGACAATATAATAATTTATTAAAAATGTACTAACTACTTCATAAAATTGTAAAAATGAATACTAAAAGAAACTGTAACTGAAATACTGTACAGTAAATGAAAATTTAACTGCCTCTTACCTATCAGAGGAGAGCTAATGGCATGCTGGAAGCAGGAGGTGGAAGAGAGGAGGGGTATATTAATGCTTAGAAGGAGAGTCACCTTCTATTAATGTCAGGCAACTGTGCTGCTGGTGGTGTTTCTCTTCTTTGTCTCTTTTTCACCACTAACACCTTGTTCTGGCTCACTGGTTCTTTGTCTCAATTAAAACCTGTACAGTTATTACCCAAACTTTCATGTTGGCCCTCCACATTACAGCCGATTTGTTTTTTTATAATATTCTTCTTCTTAAGAATTCATGAATTTTTGGAATGATAAACAAGTAAGGGCTTCAATTTCAAGTCCCCACTTGCATTATCACACAGTAACAGAGTGAGGCTGTCTTTCATTGGCTTGTGTCCTGGCATTAACTTTTCCTCTTCAGTTATGTAGGCCCTCTTGGGCATTTTCTTCCGCAAGAGGTCTGTCTCGTCACAGTTAAACACTTGTTGGAGGACAAACCCCTCAGCCTCCATGTACTCTTGGAATTCAGTAACATACTTTTCAGCAGACACTTTGTCAGCACTGGCAGCCTCCCCATGCCTAGCCACACTATGAATGCCACTTCTTTTCTTAAAATTATCAAACAAACCTCACTAGCACTTGTTCCTTTTTTTTTTTCAGGTCATCATGCAACTGCCTCGCTTTTTCACAAATAATGGCCTCTGAAACACTATCACCATGTAACTGCTTTTTGTTTATCCAAATCAACGAGTTTTTCAACCTCCTCAATAATCTGCAGTCTTTGCTTTGATATCACTTTTGCACCTTTTGCAAGGTCAGCTGCTTTAATTTTTTCCCATTGGCCCAGTATGGTGCTAATGGTAGACTTTGATTTACCAAAATAGTGTTGCTATATCAGCCACATGGAGCCTGTCTTCTTCATACTTTCTAATGACTTCTTTTTTAAATTCAACTGCTTTTTACAACTTTTCTTTTTTGCTTTCATCTTTTTATCCTTCTTTGAACCCATGATGGCTTATCTCACAATAAAAAAAAAATTGCACCAAAACTGCAAAATAACAAAAATAACAAGATGCACAACAAAAGCTCAAGAGATGTTTACAGCACACGAATTAGTGAGCACGTGACCCGAGCTGTTCATGTTGTTGGTCAACAACCAAGAGAATGTACAAAAACAAGGACATTTTTTTCTGTAATTACTCGCTTGAAAACCTATTTGTTCGACATCATGCAGTCGGCAACTGAGGTTTTACTGTATTTATATCGAATATTCTATGTATACATTATGCCAAGTTCTTTATAAGTAAATTTAAGCTTTTGAAAAATGGGGATATCTTTTGTCTTGGACCAGATTGAGTGGTCATGCTAACAGAGTTTTTTTTTTTTTTTGAGTAATGATGGATTTTAGGTTATTTACTCTTGTAGATCCCCATATGCTTATGAGTGAGACAAGGACAGACAGAGAAGTAGTACAGGGTGAGTAGTGTTATTAGAGATACATAGTAATGCCCATTCTTAGAAATTTTCTTATATGTTTTCTACATCTTGTCTTTTGATGTATGTATTATTTACCTTTATGTTTAATTGAATATTTTTAGCATTATTCCCAAACAAGAGTGAGGCTGACAACAAAATGATCTGGATTTGAGATGACAAGAGTTGTTATCTGTAAGTAGAATTATTTGAAGCTCCTGGGAGGCATTAGGTAGGTTATTGTTGTTGAGAAATAATGAAAGGTCTAAGATGATGCCCTATGGTACCCCAGTGTACAACATGGAATAAGTAATTATTTCTTGTGAAAATTTAAATTTTTGGAGATATTGTCTTCAAAAGGGAGCTGGACAGGCACCTCAAGTCAGTACCTGACCAGCTGGGCTGGGGTTCGTACGTTGGATTGCATGTGGCCAGCAGTAATGGCCTAGTTGATCAAACTGATCCACCATGAGGCCTGGTTATGGACCAGGCCATGGGGGCATTGACACCCCCTCCCCAGGTAGTACAAAAATAGCATGTTAATTTTGAGCAGCACATCTGAGCCATTAGGGTCTTAACAAGTCTATTTGAAACCAAGGCGAGTTTATATGTAATACTACATGGAGGGTGTGAAAAAATGGCTACCACTGTTGCTAGAGAGTTGCACATCTACATCAGTAAACATAAATATGTCTGCTGTGTTGATAATGTTAACATTACCTGTGTTATTCACAGAAATAACTATGACCACTTGATGAAGTGGAGTTACCAAACAAATTGAGGATGATTTGCAAAAGTGGTATTGCCTAATATCAGCAGTCATTAGCTTTAGCAATACAGTTGTGCAGAATATGAAGTGCTTCAATATCTGCAGCTTTTGGGCTAAATTGATTTGGACCACCAAGAAACAGCCATCAGGTGACATCCGATGCCATCACAAACACCCCCACCTATACTACAACTGACCTCAACACTTCTATATCAAATAATATTTGATGAAGACATTAGAAAGCTACAGGATGACCTGGATACGCTGATGTTACAGTTGGATTAGTGGCAGATGCTGTTCAGTGCAAGTTAGTGCAAGGTTTAATACACAAATAACCCTCTGGAAACATAAACACATATGCAGTTTAATGTGATCCTTTATTGACAACGTTTTGCCCACACAGTGGGCTTTTTCAAGTCACAAACAGATGTTTGTGACTTGAAAAAAGCCCACTGTGTGGGCGAAACGTCAATAAAGGATCACATTAAACTGCATATGTGTTTGTTTCCAGTGTCGGTATTTTATACCATTTATTTTCACAAATAACCCTCACGTAGGAGAGAGGAGCATACGATGACGTTTCGGTCCGACTTGATCTGATCTTGGTCCAAGTCGGACCGAAACTTCGTCGTAAGCTTCTCTCTCCTATGTGCGGGTTATTTGTGCATTGTTTCAGTCATGGTATTGTGCCGTTTTGTTACTTATGCAAGGTTTTATCCTAGCAAAAAGACAATAAGATTAATATAAAATTAGAATCGTTTGGATTTTTAACCTGGAAGGTTAACTACCCAGGATAACACAGGTTTGGAAAATTGCATTTAGCTGAATGTATCATTATATACATAACAGTAAATGAACAAAGATAATTATTATTTATCAGTTAGACAAGTAGGAATTTGGGACACCTAGGTCGCAAAAAATGTCCCCCTTCGATACCTACCACTGTGAAAACTTGTGTGGACTGCCTCCAAGTGAGTCGCCTACCCTGGCAAACTCTGCTGACACCAAGCTCT